GAGCCCCCCCACCCTGCCATGCTCACCTGCCTGACACCGCCTGCCCCGGAAGCCAGCCTTGCAGGAGCAGGTGCCATCTCTCCGGTCACAGGACTGCGTGTGGGACTGTTCGCAGAGGCACTCCTCGGAGCAGCCCGGCCCGAAGGCCCAGGGCGGGCAGGCTGCATCCACATAGCCATGAGAGGGCTGCCCACGGCACCCCCTGTCCCCAACACAGGGTGAAGGTGATGGGCCTCTGTGGCTGTGCCCCTTGGGGGACGTGTTCTGGGAATCGGGGCACCTCTCAAAGCACCTCTTCTCATGCCCAGGGGGCTGAAGCCGGTGTGTCCACTTGACAGATGAGCCCCAGGGTCTTTGAAGTTTAGGGACTTGCCCAGGTCCCACCACTTCCCCTAGGCAGGGGACACACTCCTTTCCGGATGAAGGAGGGAGCTTCTCTGCCTCTCCTGCCAAGCCTCTGTCCCTTTCCTGCCTGCCTGTGGCCCCTGGGGCTGTGTGACCCACCAGGCCTGGGAGGACTGCTCGGGCCTCTGCCCTCCCACCTCTCTGGGCTGGGGCTGGGGGTGCCACAGGCTGGGGACAGCCCAGTTGCAGTGGAGGACATGGATTGGCATCCACAGATCAGGAACAGACCCTGGACCCCGGCTGGCAGTGTGTGGCTGGCGCAGGACAAGGACTGCCCGCCCCCCACATAGCAGTCAGCTCAGACATCGCAGGGGCAGCAGGACTCACCAAGGTGGCAGAAGCGGCCATAGAGCCCCGGGTCACAGAGGCAGGCCCCGTAGAGGCGGTGACATCGGCCCCGGTTGGCACAGTGGCATTTCTTGCGACAGTGTTTGCCATAGAAGCCCTTGGGGCAGCCTGAGGGTGGGGGCCCAGTGAGACTCAGAGAGTGACCCCTATCTAAGGGACATGCAGGCCTAGTCCAGCATAAGAGTCAGGAGCAGCATCTGCCAGGGGCATGAGATGGATCTCCTAGATGAGGCCACCAGCTGGGTCAGCCAGGACCCCCAGGGTCCGTGACAAGAACGGGTGGCCAAGTCCATCCCCCAGCACACCCCTGAGGGACCGGAGCTCATGTCCAGTGCTCCAGCACCTGACCACACCTGGAGCACCAAACCTGACCTCCCTGCCTCAAAGCAGGAAGGACACAAGGCCTCACCAGGCCAAGGCCCAGCCCAAACCTCAGGAGGCCCCGGGCAGCGCTGTCCTTCCCAAAGCACTTCCCTCTGGCTCTGCCCTGCCCTGTCCTTCCTCCCCTTCAAGTGGCTATAGTGGGTTAAAGGTGGACCCCCAAGAGCTTTGTCCACGTCCTAGTCCCCAGGCTCTCAGGATGAGACTGCCCTGCACTGCCCAGGTGGACCTAAATCCAATGACCAGCGTCAGGGTCCAGGCAGGTGGGGTTTGAGACAGGAAGAGTCAGGCACGGGGCAGAGGCAGGGCCATGTGAAGTCTCGAGCAGAGACCACAGCCAAGGGGAGCCAAGCACCCTGAAAACTCACCTGCCTGTCTCCGGGGACAGCCCTCCCTCCGCTGACCTGCACAGGAGCACTTACTAGCAGGGCCTCTGGTGGCCCTCCACAGGACACCCCAAGACCCGTCTCTGGGAGGCCCCGTGGATAACGCAAAGCAGAAGCACTGAGATTCAGATCCTCACCTGCCAGGTGTGCCCCGCCTACACACACCTGTGCACTCCGGCCCCCAAGTCATGGGTTTGTCAGCCTCTGCGTGACAGTGCCGGCAGAGGAGGGGGAAAGGACAGCAGGGACGCTGACCACGGGGAAGAGTTAGAAAGCCACATGGCTGCCTGGGGACTCTATTGCCCCCGAACAACCAGCCTGCAGAGCCCAGCATGTGCCACAAAGAGCATTGGGGGTCAGTGTCTGTCAACTGTGCCTCCTCTCGCTCAGGCAGGAAGCTGAACTGGCATCCCCTCCTCTCCAGCCAAAAGGGCAGGCCCGGAAGGTCTGAAGGCCCAGAGACAAGCGTTAGCTCCTAGGAAACTTATTTACACAGACCCTGATTTCTCCATAAACTGAGATAGCCGAGATCACCCCACGCAGGATCACCCCCACGGCCACCAGCCCAGGCAGAACAGCCTCTTGCATACCCCAGCCAGCCAACACCCAGCTCTACTTGAATGCTTCCAGGAACAGGAGGCTCACTACCTACCCACGGCGCCCACTGCAAAGACATCATCCCTCAACCTATACCATCTAGAGTCAAGCCCTGGAAGAGGAGCAACACTGAAAAATGAAGGCTGTCCCACTGAATGGTCTCCTTCCCTCCCAGCCTCAGCCCTGGAGGTAGGGGCAGGGGTCTGAGCAAGGACTGCATTCACAGCTCCTGAGCCCAGCAGTGCCTAGGAGGATGCAGGCGGGGGGGGGTGGCACATGCCCCTGCCCCTGCCCCCTTGCCCCAGGGGCTGCACGCACCGTCCTCACAGTGAGTCCCGCTGACACCTGGGGGACAGCGGCAGGCACCCGTCACAGGATCGCAGGTCCCTCCATTCTGGCAGCCACAGGGGGAGCTGCAGTTCTTTCCAAAGGTGTCTGGAGGACAAGCTACAGCGGGGAGAGGGAAGCACCAGGTCAGTGGCCAGTGTCCGCCCCACCCTGGACACTCAGCAGACCTGACCGCTGCAGCTCTGCGGCTGGAGCAATTTGTGCTAGGCCTCCACCACACTGCGGCAGAGACCCTACGACCGCCAACCTCTCCCTCCAACGAAAAGACTCGGGTCCTTCTGAACCAGCCCTTTCAAACCAGGCATTGCCCATGGCCCTGGAGAAGAGCCCTGACCTCCAGGGCCACCCTGCTCTGGGGTGCTGGGCAGGGAGTGGACGGCTCTGGATCGAGAGGAATTGCAAAGTGCTTTAGCTACTAGCTTGCCGTGTGGCCCCGGGGTCCCTGCTCCCGGGGGACGCAGGACGTCCTGGCTACCTACCCCAGAGAAGCCCCCCACCACTCCCTTCCCAGACGCCCCTGCCCCGGGTGCCTTGGGGTATGGCTGCAGCTGGGCCCCTGGAGACTGAGGCGGAGCCTCATACGCCGGGGGCTTGTCCCTGGGCAGTACCAAGCAGTGCCCGGCACAGACGCAGGCAGCAGAACTTATCAAGAAACGAGGAATGCACGGATGGACGGACCCCCAAGCCCCCTGCCCAGGGCTCCCAGGAGGAGCAACACCGAGTGGGCTGCCCACACGTCTGGGCCCAGAGGCCCCCTGCCCGGCGCCCAGCCCTGCCCATGGCCTCACTCTCATTGCAGACGAGCCCGGTCCAGCCCTCGGGGCAGTCGCAGCCGTCCAGGCCTGGGAGGCAGGTCCCTCCGTTCACGCAGTCGTCGCAGGTCAAGCTGCAGTCCTGGCCGAAAGTGTCACCCAGGCAGACTGGGGTGGACAGACAGGGACTCAGAGCCTGGCCCCAGCCTCATTCCCTGACTGGGCTTGGCAGGCCCAGGGGCTGGACTCGGGCCCTCGGGTCAGGAAGAGGACCAAGGCACACCCTTAGCCGGGAGGATCCACGAGCGTGAGGTGGGATGAGGCCAGGCGAGCCGACCTGGGAGCCGGGGACCTGCTCTAGCCCCCGTCGGGCTGTGCAAACTAGGCAAGGAGCTCCACTTCTCTGGGCCCCAGCAGCTCCCTCCTTATGCCCAAGGCCACGGGTGACAGGAGCCTGGTTGGCTGTCCCTGAGGACAGGAGCTCCAAGCCGGGCCACCCTCACCAAACTTCTCAGTGAGCGTGTGCTCTCCCCGCAGCTCCGCCTCCGCCTCCTCCTCCTCCTCCTCCTCGGCCCCAGAGTCGTCCTGGAAGAGCTGCGGCAGCCCGTCCCGCAGCACCGCGATGTGGGGCAGGGGCCGCACGAAGGGCAGCTGGCCATCCAGGTCCACCGTGGGCTCCTCCAGAGCTGGGGAGGGACACAGAGGCCCAGAGTCCCGGCTGCCCCCTGATGTCCCCAGGGACAACATTGTGTTGGGCTGTGGCCCTTCCCTCACCTGGTCAGGGCCCAGCTAGACCCCCGTGCACTTGGCCCTGGGAGACGCCTGTGTGGCCAGCTCCCTTCCCCACCCCCACAGTAGGGGGCAGGACCACGCGGGGCCCCGCAGGCCCAGGAGGCAAGGGGGTGGGGCCAGCCACAGTGGCGCAGGGTGCCGGGAGGGGAGACTCACGGGTGCATGCCCTGCGGTCCTCGTCCAGCCGGTAGCCGGCCTCGCAAGAGCACTGGAAGGAGCCGGCCAGGTTGGTGCAGTGGTGCTCACAGCCCCCGTGGCCAGAGGCGCACTCGTCCACGTCTGCGGGAAAATGGGACCACTTGGACTGTGCGCCTGGGTCAGAACCTCAGGGGCCATGCCAGTCCTGGCCCTGCTTGCTGGACGGAGCCCAGCACCTTGTCTCCCTAAGCTGGCTGGTGACACCACTGCGGCCTCGCTGTCCTCACCCCCAGGGGCAGAGTGACACTAGATACCTGCCTGAGGGCGGCCACACTAGGAGAGAAACTCAGGGAGCAGCCAGGACTGCAGGTCCAGCCCCGGAGAGTGGCCAGGGACCCCAGGCCAGAGGGAGGGAGGCCGGGTCAGCAGGCTGCAGTCGGCAGGCACTCCACGAATGCCGGGGGGGGCACAAGACGGGCGGATTCCACGAGCACCATGGGAGGGCCGCGCTGGCCTGTCCTTGCCCTAGTCGCCCAGCTGTCCGCGGGCCGGCAGGCGCTCACCCTCACAGCTGCAGCCATCGGTGCTGAGCCGGTAGCCGGCGTAGCAGCCACACTCGTACCCGCCGGGGCTGTTGGCGCAGACCTGCTGGCAGCACGGGGAGTCGGCACAGTCGTCAACGTCTGCAGGGCACACAGCAGGCCACTGGCACCCGGCGCCTCCACACCCGCCCCACAGCCCCGCAGACCACCCTGCACACGCTCATGCGCTCGCCCGCACACCCACACAGCCACACACGCCTTCAGCCTCCTGCCTCCAACCACTGTGCACATGGCCACATCACCTCCACACACACCTGCGACAGCCACACTGCCTCACACCTACACCCAGGGACACGCACCTGCACACACACACACACACAATCACAGTCACACACCTGCACAAAGCCACACACGGCACACAACACAACACACCTGCACACTACCACACACTGCACACGACCACACACCTGCACACTACCACACACACCTGCACACTACCACACACCTGCACACTACCACACACACCTGCACACTACCACACACCGCACACAACCACACACCACACACAACCACACACACCTGCACACTACCACACACTGCACACAACCACATACCACACACAACCACATACACCTGCACACCCACACACACCTGCACATGACCACACACCACACACAACCACACACACCTGCACACTACCACACACTGCACACAACCACATACCACACACAACCACACACACCTGCACACCCACACACACCTGCACATGACCACACACCGCACACAACCACATACACGGCACATGACCACACACCACACACCACCACACACACCTGCACACTACCACACACTGCACACATCACACACAGAGCACACTTCACAGCCAGGGCCAAGGTGGGGCCAAGTGTGTCAGGTGGTGCCCTGCAGGCAGCCAGGTCCTTCTGGACTGTGACGCTGCCCCTCTCCAGGTCAGCACCCCCTGGTCAGCCCAAGCAGCCAGGGCAGGGACGGGGAGGCAGGGGAGGCCTCCGAGTCATGGTGTCACCCCAGCCCCAGGCCCGGGTGGCAGCCTGTGTCCAGTGGGCAGGCGGCTTGCCCTGGACGGAACCCGCTCCTACCAACACAGGTCTTCTGGTCCTCGTCCAGCTCGTATCCATGGGGACAGGTGCAGAGGGGCCCTGCGCTGGTGTGGCTGCAGCCGTGGGAGCAGCCGCCCCGGCCGGCCTCGCAGCTGTTCACAATCTCCATCTCGATCCCTGTGACGGGACAGGCCAGCAGGTGGGGGACGGGGACTGGAATCCAGGGCCTCCCCATGGGCCCAGAAGCTAGCCCAGGGGGGCTGAGGGCGGCTAAGTGGCTGAGGGCTGAGGGCTGAGGGCCACGCGGCCACCCTCAGCACCCGAGTGGCCGCTCGCTGCCCACTCACGGTAGCACTGCCGGCCATCAGCACCCAGCTCGTAGCCTGCGTGGCACACACATTTGAAGGACCCCCGAGTGTTGAGGCAGCCGTGGGCACACTGGGCCAGTCCCGAGGCACATTCATCCACGTCTGGAGCAGAGAGACCAAAGGCAGGTCTAAGGGCACGGGAGATGTCTTCTCACTCCCCAGGGACAGTGGAGGAAGCTCATGACCACGGGCACCCCGGGCACAGTAATGCTGGCCTGGGGCCACACACACTGGCGGTCAGGACCAAACTCCGCTGTCCCGGCAACTGCAACAGCCGCACCCCAGCAGATTCCTCAGGATGAGGCTGACCCTGAGCTAGGCTCATACTGAGCCTGCGGCGGCCACCTGCACCCAGAGTGACAGGCTCAACCTCCGCACCAGCGGCAACTTCCTGGTCCTCATGGGGTGGGGAAACACGAACTTCCAGACCCTGTGGGCAGCTGGCCGTCTGATGGGACACCACGGAAACTGACCACTGCCTCTCTGGACACCCCTTGGCTTATCACTGGCCCAAAGGTCGCGGGCCAAGGACAGCCGCCACACACCACAGGGCTGCTCTTCCCAGCCGTGCTGGCCACGGGCGAGAGCCAGGGATACTGGACACCCAGGCCTGTGGTCGAGCCCAGGCACAGCAGGGCCCTGCAGCTGGACAGGCCATCAGCCAATATCTCCCGACCGTGACCTGACACGAAGCACCATTTAACAAGGAGCCCCAGCGAACAGCACCAGGGACGGCGGCAGGTTTCTGCCGGGCTCCTCGGGCAGCCCCACTCCGCTGCCCTCTCCCCAGTTCCCAACAGCAGCTATGCTGCCCACTGCAAGAGACCTCGGAATGAAACCTCAGCTGCCCCTGTCAAAACGAGCCTTGCTGGAGGCAGCTCCCGGGGTGCTCCTCACCCGGCCTCCCACCCACTCCACCCTGGTCACCCAAGGGTGGCAAGGTGAGCCACGTGTCCAGGGACACTGCAGTGACACGGGCAGGTGGAGCGGGGGCCCCACCTTCACAGGCCTTGCGGTCTGCAGCCAGCTGGTAGCCCACTCGGCACCCACAGTGGGCAAGGCCCCGCAGCACCTGGCACGTGTGCATGCAGCCGCCATTCCCATCTGCACACGGGCTTCTCCCTGCAGTGTGGACAGAGGAATGGGGAAGGGGAGGGATCAGGGTGGGACCAGCAGATTGGTGACACCAGCCCTGGGACCTCCCGCTGCTTCCTGCTCCAGCCTGGGCCGAGGATTCCTCCCAGATGTGGGAAGCCCCAAGGCCTCAGGAAAGGCCAGGGCTTCCCTGAGCATCCACCGGGACACCAGCCGCCTGTATCCCATGAACCCCCAGCACTCGGTGGGCTTCCCAGGAGGCCAGAGGGACACCAGGAAGGGGGGCCCAACCAGACAAGGGCCTTCAGCAGTGGTCAGCCAGCCCCTTCAAAGTCCTGTCTTAGCACTGAGGTGCCAGAGTGGACACCAGGGCTGTGACCCCGGCTATGATACCCTTAGCCCTGTGACCGCTAGCCCTGTGACACCTCAGCTGTGACCCCACAGTCCTGTTACACTGAGCCCTGTGACCCCCTCAGCCCTGTGACATCCTCAGCACTGTGATCCCAACCTGTGACACCCAGCACAGTGACCCCCACCCTGTGACACACTTCAGCCCTGTGACAACCAGTCCTGTGACCCCTAGTCCTATGACCCCCAACCCTGTGACCCCCAGCTGTGACCCCCAGCCCTGTGACCTCCAGCCCTGTGACAGCCTCAGCCCTGTGACAACCAATCCTGTGATCCCTAACCCTGTGCCACCCCCAGCCCTGTGTCACCCCCAGCCCTGTGACCCCCAGCCCTGTGACCCCCAGCCCTGTGACCCCCCAGCCCTGTGACAGCCTCAGCCCTGTGACAACCAATCCTGTGATCCCTAACTCTGTGTCACCCCCAGCCCTGTGACCCCCTCATCCCTGAGACATCCATGGCACTCTAACCCCCTGGTACCATGACTCTCAGCCCCGTGACCCATTCCATCTGTGCCCACGGCTGGCGTGGACCTGGAGCCACACTCACTCGCTACCCTGCTGGGAAGGCCCCGGGGGCCAGCATGCAGGAGGGCTCTCAGCACCTGTCCCACTCCTGCTCTGCCCCACCCTCTCAGCACAGCCCCATGCGGGCAGCTCCAGGTCCCTCGGGCACAGGCTGAGGGGGCCTGGCTGCCTCTTCTGCGCAGGGCCTGGGCTCCGGGTGGGCGTCTGGCGTGCCATCCCCATGCTGGCTTCCTGCCCCCGGTGTCAACCCCAGAGCCCAGCCTACAGGCCCCGCTCAGACCCTCCCTCCCTCCCTCCTCGACCAGGTCCCACAGGGTCACCTCCAGCCACCGCCCAGCTCTCCAGCCCAGGCTTCGGGTCCTGGGCAGGTCTGTGAAGGGCAGGGTGTCTGCAGAGTCCCCGCCCCTCCCAGGAGGGTGGCACTCACGGACACAGCGCCTGCCGTCCTCCTGCAGCTGGAAGCCCGGCCGGCACTGGCAGCGGTGATGCGTCACCGTGAGCTGGACGCACAGGTGCTGGCAGCCGCCATTGCCCAAGGCACAGGAGTTGACGGCTGGGGACACAGAAAGGAGCCCAAGTCAGCTGAGGGGACAGCCTGCTGCAGACCTCACCCCAGGCTGCCAGGAGCAGGACGAGGCGGCCACCTCCTGCAGCCCCCCGGGTCCTCTGCCTTTGTGTCGCTGTCCTGGACCTGGGAGCCTCGTGGGCCTTGGGAGCAGGCGCGGCAGGCCTCAGCTGACGGAGCTCTCAGCCACCTTCAGGTCTGGAGGTCGGTGGCCGTGCTCAGGACCCTCCAGTTCTGCCCTCCTGAGGGCGGGACACAGAGGCACTGCGGACTGTCCTGCCTCAACAGAGCCCTGCCCTCCCCACCAGAGGACGCCAACCCCAGGCCTCTGAGATGCCCAAGAGGGACAGTGGCCAGGAACAGCCAGCATGCTCCCTGGAGGACGCGGCAGAGGGGTGGGTGTGGAGCCACTGTGGGTGGCCACTGGGGCGTGCAGGCCTGGCCACCAGCTCCTAGGACACAGGAGCCGCCCCCTCCCACCCTAGAAGGGCCACGCCTCACTGGAACCGGATCCCAGTGCCCGGTCCCCTCAGAGGTCACAAGGACGGTACCAGGTGAGGCCACAGGCAGAGGCCGCATCCCCATCCTTCATGCTTGAGCCCCTCAGGCACAGGCCCCGTGGCAACAGTGGCCCAGTGGGGAGCTGTGTACCCCACGGATGGAGAGCAGGCATGGCCTTGGCTGGCCCAGGTGGCCCTGTGCCTCCACCAGAAGCAGCAGCCAGCTCCTTGGTACAGATTTGGTTACAATCAAGTCTCTGGCAATCGCCTTGTGGTTAGAGAGGAATTGGCCCCAAGCTCAGCAGGGAAACCACAAATATGTGCTGCTCCCCGGCCAGGCGGGTAAGACCGTCTGCCGCCAGGCCTGCGCCAGAGCTGTGCTGCCCGAGCCAACCTGAGCCCCGTTACCAAAGCACTGAGTGTGGGGGCCAGGTGTCACCCCACGATGCTGCCTAGGGTGGAGATGCTGCCAACCCCGGGGGCAGCCGGCCTGGCCCGAGTTTGGGAAACAGTGACGGTCATGGCATATAGGATTGGGGGCCAGGGCTGGCACCACGGAGGAGCAGGCGCTGGAGGCCAAGGTGGTGCCGTGCGGAGCACGTGAGCTGCTGGGGCTCCGTGAACCCGGGGAGCTGTCGGCCAGAGCCGGGCTTCCCTGGAGCAAGCTGCCTCAGAAACCACAGCACTCGCCAGAGCGCCTGCCTCCCCACGACCATGCTGGACAGCACTGCCCAGGGTCCCCCCACCACGAGTACCCGAGCAAAGCCGCTGCAGGGGAGGCAGTGGTCACCCTGTGGCTGTGGCACACTCAAGCAGGGCAGAACTGCAGCAATCCCCCACAGAACCGAGGCAAGCCTGTCAGCCGGAGCCCCCTCCCCGACTCTGCCCCCCACCCAGCCAACCTCACCTCTCCAGCTCTGCTCAGCCCTGGCCCTCCCTTCAGGGCTCCCGAGCCACATGACCTGAGCTGGCCCCACATTCCTGGGGACTCTGTTCATCTGTGCTCACCACACCAACGGCACCCCTCCTCAGCAGCCTAATGGGAACCAGACGCGTCTGGCAGACCAGCAGGCAGACCAGCAGGCTCAGGGGGGCAGAGCCTGCAGGCGAGCAGGGAGCACGGACCACGGACGACAAGGACCCAAGGGGCTGTGCAAGACTGGAAGGGACTTCTCCTCAGTACCCCCAGAGGGGCGTAGCCCCTGAGGTGGGCCCAAGGGTGAGCCCAGCAGGGGCAGACACAGGGAAGGGCCTGGGGTCCTCATGCAGGCTCCCCACCAGGGGCAGACGCAAGGGAGGGGCTGGGGTCCCTGTGCAGCCTAGAGTCCCAGGACAGAGCTTGTCCTCTGGTCCTCTGCTTCACAGAATTGGGACATCCCAGATGCTCTCAAGCTGTGCACACCAGGGAGCCGAGCCAGCGTCCTCTGCTCATCCTGCGTGGGGGATTCCCAGAAGGCTGAGAGGCAGATTCCCCAGTGCAGAGGCCAGCCTGTGGGGCTGTTCCCAGGCAGTCTGGCCACTGAGCCCCAGCTGTGGGACATACAGCCCAGGGATCCTACACCAGCCACACCAAAGACTCAGCCAAGCTCAGACCTGAAGCAAAGCTAGGTGCGTTCATCAGAAGGCAGGGCCTGGGGACTGGCCTTGGTGGGACAGGCCCTCCCTGCCTCCCTGTGCACAGGCACATGCTCACGGAGCTGCCTCCATGACCGCCGATTCCCTTCCACCTCTACACCACAGAAGTGGTGTATCTCAAAGGGAAAGCTACAGGCAGCGGGGTCTGCCGCTGTGTGCGCAGTCCTGGGGAGCGGAGCCAGTCCTGCCCGTCTTCGGCCCTCATCTTGGGGCCTTCCCCACCAGGGCCTGGCTTAGGTCCATGCCCATGTCCAGAGAAGACCCAAGTGAATACAGCTGGGGACACAGGGTGTTTGGAACTTGATGTTTCTCCCTCAAAGACACATTTGTTGAAGCCCTAACCCCAATGCAACCACATTTGGAGCCAGGGTCCTTCTGGAGGGGATGAAGGTAGAGTGAGGTCAGGCAGGTGGGGCCCTGATCCTGCAGGACCCAGATTTGCCAGCACCTTCATCTCTGACCTCCAGCAGCTGTGACAGCGAGAACATGAACCTCCGCTGTGTAAGTCACCCAGTCCCTGGCGTCCCGGCACGGAAGCCCACACTGACCCGTGCTCCCTGACTCCTGGCTTGCAGACTGGAGGCACTGCCCTCCGGCCAGGCTGCCTGCAGGACCCGAGAGTCAAGCTGCAAATCCGCCTCGGCCAGCAGGCATCACCGGTGGACACGTGGGCACCCACCCCTGCAAAAGGAGGAGGAAACTGGACACCCTGGAAAACTCGCTTCCTACAGGCCAAGGACCTGCTCCAGCTTGCTGGACAGAGGGCACTGTTCCAGCCTCAGGAGGCTCAGCAGGTGGGGCTGTCCAAGGTGGACTGGGGGCAGCTCTGCTGGCAAGTCTTGGCCTCCAGGCCACCGGGAGCTGGTCACCATGGGCCACACCGCAGGAGGCCTCTGCCTACAGCATGCCACGCCCGCCAGCTCACTCTGCCAGAGCTCCAGCCCAGCACTGTGGTTTGGGGCTGACCCCGGGCAGCTCTGGTCCTCCTGATGTCACGAGGTTCTGTAGTCACTACCCTCTGATGAGTGTGGTCTTGGGGTCCAGAGAAGGCCCCCCACCCAGCCACCGCACCCTTCCTTCTAGGAAGCCCTCCACTGGGGCAGAGCCCGGGAGGCAGGAGAGGACGGGCATTCAACCCCTTCTGCCCATGGGCAGCCCCTGCCTTGGGCATCCTGCCCCCACCCCAGCTCTCTCTAAAGGGGGCCTCCTGGCTGCCAGAGCGCACTGAACACACCGTGGGGGCACCTGCAGGCGGCCCACTGCTGCCCTCCCAAGGGCACCATGGAGATCAGCAGGGGTGGCACCCGTGACCCCACCAGTCATGCCGCCCTCCCCTGTCCTGGCCACAGACAGCACCAGGACCCTTCAGTGTGGCCTGGAGAGGCGACAACAGCAGCAGGGAGAGCAACACGCACCCCCACGCCCTCCGCCAACCCAGCTGTGCCAGCCACTGCCCTGCCCAGAGCCCTCCTCCATTCCCTGATCCTGCGGGAAGTCCTGCGAGCAACATCCCTTTTTTTTTTTTCTTTCATTTGTGAAAATGTCTGGTTTGTCATTTAAATCAGTCTTGGTCTCATCCAGCAGATATGAAGGTCCAGGGGGCAGGCCATGCCCAGGGGGCAGGACTGTGCCCACGGCCCAAGCAGTGCGTGGCATCTGTGAGGGCCACTGCAGGCCCCAGTCACTCCTCGACCTCCCCACGCCACTCGGGTCCTCACTGGGCTCGCTGACTAACCCTGGGAGCTCTCTCATCTGCACCCCCAGCTCTGCTGCCCGGCCTTCCCCACAGGTTCTGCACCCAGCCCGGGCCTGGGCTGAGGAGTCTGCCCCCCAGAAGGAGCCAAAGGGGAAGCAGGGCCTGTGCAGTCCCTCGCTGTCCTCACAGATGACCCAGGCCTGGGGACGGAGGGGTCGGCCCCAAGGTCTGCGGGAGGGACCGAGCCAGGCGGACGGCGAATCCCGTCCAGCCATGCACACACTGGCTGCATCTGACTCTTGGGTGGGGCACACAGGCAGGGGCAGCCAGGCCACCAGGGGCCTGCAAGCTGACAGCAGAGCCCTCCGCAGGGACGTCCATCCCAGAGGAGGAGGACAAAGTCGTGGGCCTGGCCAGGGCACTGCACCTGAAGGGGACCTCTGTGGGTTGAGCCAGTGACATCTGTGGGTCCTCAGACTGGCCCCACTGCTCAACCCAGGGGACAGGAGGAGACAGACATGTCTAGGCCAGAGTCCAGAAGGTCAGAGAGGCTGGCCCCTGGGCCACCAGGCAGGGGGCGTGCCGGCTCAGAGCACCCCGGCCCCACAGAGGCAGAAGGTTCCCCTGAGCCAAGTGTTGAAGATCTGGGGCTGTTTTGCACACTGGTGCTCTGCAAGATGTCATGGAAAACAAGGGTGACAGTCCCAGACCATCAGCCAAACCACCGCCTGCCCCCTTCCCGTCACCGGGGAGAGCAGGCGCTGGCTCAGGCCCCTGTGGTTGGAAAGCCTGGACCAGCCCTTGGGCTTGGCGGGGCCCTGCTCTCCCCATCCAAGAAATGGGGCACCCCAGGAGGCACCCTGGGCAATGCAGTCCCCCAGGATGCTGGTTCCTGGGCAGGAACAAGGTTCCCCCACGCCAGGGGCTGACTTGCAAGGTCCTCGTAGGCTTCTGTTGTTCAGAATGGAAACAGAACCTTCTGCATTTTCTTCCCGTAAGATCATCTGGAATCAGGGATATGCAGCTCATGCACTTCCCGTCCTCTCCCCCTGCCCTGGAGGTGAGTTCAAATGTGTTTCTAGGCCCCCCTCAAAAGCCGCCTCCTCTGAGGTCTTCCCAGGTCCCTCAGCCCGCGAGGGGGCCCACCCTGAGACTCCCACATCGCACTGCAGGAAGAAGGCCGATCCCTCTGGCACCTTCCGCCCCCAGCCTCAAGTCCCCACTCTGAGCTGCTGGGGAGAGGGGAGCTGAAGCCATGGGGGCCCGGGCTGTGGGTGAGCCCCTGCCTCCTGCCAAGCCCCAGGGGAGCTCGCAGCACCCTCCTGCCAGGAGGAGCCCACGGCTGCAGCTGAGCTCCAGCTGTGTAGCCTGCCGGCAGCTGGCCCCGTGGGGAGAGCGCGACGCCTGTGTTAATTCTTCCTGTACACGTCCACTGAGGACCTACTGCAATTCAGGCAGAGGGTGCCACTGTGAACCAGAGGGAGGCCCACAGCTCCGCCCCACCCTGGGCGCCCTGGGGGAGGGGAGGGCTGAGAAGGGCAGGAAGTCTAACCCATCCCCCTCGAGCCTGGCATGGCCTGGGCAGTGCCCTTTAGGACCCAGGAAAATTGATGGGGAGACCCCCTAACTTCTGAAGGGAAGTCCCTCACCCATGACCTGACTGTGCAGCTAACCCCACTCCCAGGCCAGCATCTCAGGAAAACGGCAGCCAGGAACAAGTCCCTCATCAACAAGAAGGGACTCAGAGACACCCTGAAATTCCCAGAAGTCCCCAGAAGACCCCATGTCCACTCTTACAGCCTCTCAGTTGCCCACAGGGAAGATAGCTCCTGGTGGACCCAGGCCAGCAGGCCCACGGGAAGCCCAGACTCTCAGGAACCCACCAACAGCCAGACGCATGGACTGCGGAAAGGGAGGCCACCAGACAGGGACAAGTTCCAGTGTCCCAGAAAGCCCTGGGAAAGGGGTCTGGGTGTGCGCCGGCAAAGGTGGCTTGAGAACAGGGCCAATCTCCTGTGTCCCCAGGTCACTACCGGAGTCTTGCCAGGAGAGGAAGGTGTTTCCCAGCTCAACTCGGCCGAGGCCATCAGCCCCGAGTCACAGGGTGGTGCCGGGGGAGCTGGCGTGGTGAGTGCCCACCAGCGTTCCTCAGCACGAGGACAGTCCTCGCTCTACAGCCCTCAGATATATCTCACAGGGACATTCCACTGCATGAAACCCTTTCTGAGAGTTGCAGTCCAGGGAGAATCTGAGGTCACTACCCTGCAGCCCACCAAAGTGCCTGAGTCCCAGCTGGACCTTCAGCTGGGAGAGGCCTGCAGGTGGGCACCAGTGCCTGGAAGGTGTTGAAGCTCTGGAGAGCCCAACCACTCAAACAGGCCTAGTGTTGGGACAGCCAGGAGGGCTGGGGGGTCCCAGAGGCTCCCCACAGCCAGGAGCCCTGGCATCTGACTCTGCAGAGACCCTTTAAAACACACCTGTGCCTGGGAAGACTTCTGGCCCCAGTGCGCAGATCCCAGATGGCCTAGCTCCAGGAATGGCCCAGACAGCAGTGGGCAGAGGGGGCAGGGGACAGGCCAGGCTGAGGGGCATGCTTCCTGGGCTGCCTGAGGCCAGCAGCTCACTCCAGACCTAAGGAGCGTCCCTCATTTCTGCAGGTTAATGACCCCTCCCACCCTGGTCCTGGTCCCTTTGGGAGCATCTCAGGGAAGGCGACCTATCAGGCAGTGGGAACCGGGATGGGAGTGAGTGTCCCACCCCACGACAGCAGGGAGCCAGCAGCAGGGGACCCCACCTCAGACCCCAAAGATGACCCTATCTAAAGGGAGTGGGAGGACATGTCCCTCCCAAAGCCACTCTTCTAGGAGGCCGCAGGGGACCAGGGGACCCAAGGCCACTGAGCCCCTGCCAGGGCTCCCAGGAGCAGCGGGCAGCCGGCTGGGCTCAGCCCCGGCTCATCTGCCCTGAAGCGCGTCACAGCATTCCTGCAGCTGCTTCTGCTCTCCCGCCCAGGGCAGCTGCCTGGCTCCCGGAGCAGCGAAGGACATGTGCTGCATGTGGGGGAGCGGTCCCCTGGGGCTGGCAGGCTGCCAGCCACACAGCAGCCAGGACCAGGAGGGAGCCCGGGCTCCACTCTGGATCTCCAGGGTGGAAAGAGGGGCGTCTCATTCAGTCCCCTAGAGGACAACTCCACGTGCCCCCTAGAGGCCAGCCAGAGGGTCAGGCCCATCCCCAGAGCACTGCGTCCAGAGCCGGGGCAGAGTGCGGGGCAGCACTGCTCTTCACCAGATCCCTGGGCAGCCCCCTTGCTCGGCTGCTCCTGGACCTCCCTTTGCCTCCCCTAGTGGTGGAGGCCAAGTCTGTGTCCTCAGGCGCCACTGAGCTCACAGTAGATGCTGAGAGGACCCTGGGCGCCAGGGGCTCACGCCCCACTCCCCACCTACCGCAGCGCACACTCCGAGTCCCCGAGAAGCCAGCTCTGCAGGTCAGGCACGGCTCACGTGCCTGCCTTCCACGGGACCCAGGCAGCCTCCCCGACTGCTGGAGAGCAGCCTGAGGCTCCGAGTCTCGAGGGCAGCACAGCCTGGCCTGCGTCCTGCTGAGTGACCACCACAGGCAGCTTCGGCTTTCCAATGGAACTGGGCAGGCTGCAGAGGGAGGGCAGCCTGGGGTCTCAGGGACCTGAGTCAGCGCCTCGGGACACACTCTTCACCCGCTGCAGCCTGGCCTCACCTCACCGGGGTGGAGCCGTCATGCCCCACAGCAAGACAGGGCCACATTCAGTGGCAGCCACACTCCCTCTACAGCGACAGCTGAGGCCACCGAGGCCATGCCCAGTGAGAGCCCAGTCAGGCCTCAGCCCCACGGGGGCAGGGACGGGGCCTTCCCCAGACCCGGCACACCCAGGCGCACAGGGCAGCCGAGGTCAGAGGCGGACAGGGTCCCCAGGTAGCACTTACCCAGGCAGGTCCTGCCGTCGGCGTGGAGCCGGAAACCAGGCTTGCACTCGCAGAGGTAGGAACCGGGCGTGTTGACACACCTGTGCTGGCAGCCTCCGTTGTGCACACGGCACTCGTCCACATCTGGGCAGGGAGGGGCAGGATTACCAGCCAGGTACCCACCAGGCCAGAACAGCCTCCCGAGCCCCAGCCCGTGCTTGCAGAGCCAGAGTGCAGAGGCAGGGCCCATCCTCCCCACCGGCTGGCATGTGTGGGCAGGAAGAGCTGCCACCTCCGGCCCGATGGGAGATGGGGTGCAGCAGAGGGGAGCAGGCTGGGGGGGTGAGGCCCCAGCACCTCAAGGCTGAGCAGGGAGCACAGCCTGTCCCCTGGAGCCCAGGTCCACTCCCCCGTGGCCCACGAGCCCAGAAGCTGATGACCCTCAACCCCGCCCCCAGGCTGAGGCGAAGCCACAGCAGGGTGGGGGTGGTGTCCTGGCCCAAGCACGCCCAGTACACGTCCCTCTGTAACCTGTGCTTTGCAGGTGCGCTAAGGGGAGGGTGGGGGTCATTCTGGGAAAGGGCGAGTGGAGGCCCAGCAGGACGCAGTGAGGAGGCCACAACCTGGCCATCCGCGGCCGCCGCCAGGGCTGGGAAGGACGAGGCAGGAAGGACCCCACACACTCGGAGAGGCCCTGGGAATCCTGGCCTCCTGGCTCCAGGGGTCTCGAGCCACCTGGCCTCTTATTACAACAGCCCCAGGACACGAATGCAGCAATCCAGACTGGGTGCCCCCTCCCGGCCCCTCTCCCCTGCTGGGCCAGGAGGACAGCAGCCCCTGAGCGATGCCAGTCCTGAGGCCCGTCCTACCTTGCCCCTGCCACATGCCACCTGAGCAGCCTGGCCCTCTCAGGCCCTCCCACCGCCTGGGGGCAGCACCTCCAGCAGGGCTCAGATCTAGAAATCCTGGGCCAAGGGTACAGGAAGGGAGGTCAGGAAGGAGGAAGAGGGCAGCCTTGACTTCCACACCTGGGGGCTGGCGGGTGGGGTCTCTGCTAGCCACAGAGAACAAGGGCAGCAGACGGCAGCCCAGCACACATGCCCCCTCTGCCGCCCACCTGCTGCTCAATGGCCGCCCACCCCAGCACCCCAGCACCCCAGCACCCCAGCACCACGGCTCAGGCCAAAGGGCCAGCAGATAGGACAGGATGTGAACTGGAGGCTTGGGAAAGAGCCTTTCCTGGGGCCCTTCTCCGGGGCTGGAGGCCAGGACGCTGCACCCCAGGCCTTGTCACCCCGTCAGGACTGCATCAGGAAAGCACGGGTGTGCAGAAGGCTCAGGGTGCCCAGCCTCCTGCCCTGCCCTCCGGCCTTCCATCTGTCAAGATGGACGAACTTCCAGCCAGAGAGGGAGGCAGGTGAAACAGAGCACAGAAAGTGGGGTCGTCCCCAACACCAGTGTGCACACCTCCTGGTGGACCCCCTGCCCAGCACTGCCCAGAGCACTCCGGTGACCCCTTTAATGCTAAGAAATCCAGAAGACTTCCAGGGGAGGCTTGTGAAGTGGGGCACGACTGTAATCCCAGTGACTCAGGAGGCTGAGGCAGGAAAATTCCAAGTTTGAGGCCAGCCTCAGCAACTTAGAGAGACCCTGTCTCAAAATAAAAATTAAAAAGGGCTGAGGATGTGGGTCAGTGGTAGAGCACACCTGGGTTCAGTCCCTGAACCAAAAAGGAAAAAGAAAATAATAATTCAGGAGCTCTCTCCTGGAGGTCCTGGGCCTCTGGACATGGTGGAGGCTTTGAAGTGCCACAATGCCCTGGGCACAGCTGAGGGGCAGCCTTTCTGATCGGGGACACTGGTCTGGGTTAGTGAGGCTGGCAGATGAAGGGTCACCTTGCCTGAACAATAGGTGTGGACTTCAGTCCTCTGTCTGCTGCCACCAGACAACGCAGAAGAACCCCAGCAGGCCTGCGTCTCTGCCTGGGCCTCCAGGACCATCTGCTCCACGCACAGGCCACAGTTGCTCTGGACAGACTCCAGGGTCCCTCCTAGGCCCTGAGGCCGCCTACAGGAAGTCAGAGGGAGGCCAGAAGGATTCTCGGGAAGCTTAAAAACAAAGCGGCCCCCAGCAGGACCCCAAAGAGACAGAGGGACCCAGGGCATAGTGGGGTCAGGACCCTGACCCCAACGATGGGAGAGTCAGTTGTGGGGGTGGGAAACAGCACCCACCCCACCCAGAGGGCTCAGGGCTCCCCCAGCCCAGATCCCTAAAAGGTGACGGTGAATCACACAGCAGCGCATGGTCAGGCAAACAGTAGGTGCTTATTAAGAGCTGGCCAGCCCTGGAGGCTGTGTTCTTGCCCAGCTATCGGGACAGTGAGGGAGGCAGTCAGCCTGCACTCAGCCACAGGGTTCCCTGGAGCCCCGGGGCGGGCCCAGGACTGGGCCCTGCTGGCTGCAAAGGTAAGGTCAGCAGGGCCGTTGGCTGGCTCCCCACTCCTGGGCTGGACTGACCCTGCACAGCCAGTGCCTCCCTGCTCACACCCACCTGCACGTGATGGCTAGCCGCAGCCTCCTGCAGTGCAGACAGGAACACTCAGCTCCCAGTCCCCCACCCCGGCACTCCTCTCTCCTAGCCCCAGCTCCCCCCTCAAGTACACAGACCCAGGCCTGCCTGGCTCATGGACCCAGCCCCAAGCCCTTCCTGGTCATGAAACTTCTGTGTGGGGATTCGGAACTGCCATGCCAGGAGACAGAGTCCATGACAGGGCGCACACAGGGCACCCTGAAATAGCACATGGCTTCTGGTCCCACAGTCAGCATCTAGACCCAGAAAGTCAGTCCAGGGCTAGAGGGTTTGGGGTCTCCCCACAGGATGGCATGTGGCCAGATGATTTTCTGGGGTCCCCCAGCTCTGAGAACCAGGCCTCTGTGAATGGAGATAATCCCCCTTACAGGAAGGTGGGCATTGGGTCAGCCAGGCAGGGCTCTCCACTCCATGGGCCCCTGCGTGTCCCCCTACCCTGAACTTCCAAGGTGGGCCGACATTGTGGCAGAGCAGAGCCACCCCAGATTGCTGAGCCTGCCGCGGCTCTGGCCGTACCTGGGCAGCCACAGGCACAGGGCCTTCATGTAGTGTGTGCTGCACGTAGCACAGACCTGCAGTCCCACAGACTCTGGGGCAGGGCAGGAAGACCGCAAGTCTGAGGTTTAAAAAATTAAAAGGGCTGGGGAGGTGGCTCAGTAGTAGAGCACCCCTGGGTTCAATCCCCAGCACCAAAGAAAGAAAACCAAAGAGCCTCGTCCCCAGAACCTTAGAGAGACTTTGCAATTGGGACCGAGTGAAGGGTCTCAGTTGACAGAGCATCCTGGGTTACCCAGGTGGGACAAAGCAACCCGAAGCTGAGAGGGAGGAAGGAAGGCTGAGCCGGAGGAGGGCCTGTGGCAACAGGAGCAGAGGCCAGACAGACCAGAAGGCCCTTCGCTGCGGCTCTGAGGGTGCAGGAGGGGCTCAGGAAGCCAAAGCTGCTACCCTTCCCTGTAGCCTCCAAAGGGACCAGTCCTGCCTGCCTTGATTTTAGTCCATTTTGGACTCTGACCTCAGAGCTGTCAGGTAACATCTGTTGTTTTCAATCACCGAGGTGGGGAAACCCGATGTGGCCACTGGAGGGACACGGAGCTCCCTGACTGTTAGCTCAGGGCCTCTGCAGATTCAGACCACGCAAGCTGGCGACCCTCAGTTCCCAAAGGTCAGCTCTGGGCAGACGCACCAGCTCCCACACGGAGGCCCACTGTGTCCTTTCAAGCACCATCCATGTGGCCAGGCCCACAGGAGCGCTGTCTGCCCCCAGCACCTACTGAAGCTTGGCTCCCTCGACTCTCTGGTCCCACAGGCCTGCACCCTAGGTACCTGCCCCTCTGCCTACACACACGCAGTGCAGATGGGGTCATGCAGAGGGACCAACTCTGAGGTGCCCCAGCAGGGCCGGCAGAGCGCGGGCACCTCAGGCTCTGTGACTCTAGCAGGAACATCCTCCTGCAGCACAAGGGGCCCAAGCTGAACGGAGGGTGAGGGCTGAAAGGAGCAAGGACACAGATGTCCCCATGTTTACCTTCAAGTCGGATGGAGCTGCTCACTCCAGGGACGCCAGGCTGGCCCAGGGGCAAACCCACTCTGCCCCATCTCCCTCAGAGCAGCCCAGGGAAAACCCAGGAAGCACCATCTGGAGGGGCCAACTGGTGGGGTCTCGGCACAGCCAGGCCAGGGCGCCACAGAGATGTCCTGGGGTCTTGCTGCAGCCCTCAGTGGCTATAAGTGACTGAGGACTTGGCAGCCTCATGACAGGATCAGTAGCACACACTGGCACATGGTGACATCACTGTGACAACCCAGGCTGGCTGGGTGAGAGCTGCAGTGCCTGCCAAGTTGGGGCTGGGAGTACCACAGCAAGCTGTCGGGAGCCTGTGGGGCGCCCACCAGCCCTCACCCAGGTGCTGCCAGCTCCAGACCCCACAGCACACACCAGGCAGAGAGCTGCCTCTGCGGAGACCACCCCAAGACCCTTCCAAAGCTTTCTCAGAGCCTCCAGGGAAAATGAGCCCCTGGGGCCCTGCCCGAAAGCTTTGCCCCGCGCATGCCACGGGTTCTCACAGGCACACCGCTGCCCACAGGCCCTTCTTCTCTCCCTGCCCCTCTGAAGGCCATGGAGCAGGGCAGGAGCCCCCACTCCCCAGAGTTCAGCCACACTCAGCTCAAGACCTTGAGGTCAAGGCACCTGTGCCCCTGGTGGTGCACTGACATGCCAGCCTAGTCTTGTCTGTGCCACCAAGCAGGAGGGGGGCTTCCTGAGGGGTGGGGAGTGGGGGATCTGGGCCCCAGCTGGGCCAAGTGGCCACATTAAGGGAGATGGGCCGGCTCTGCTCAGTGCTCAGGTACTTTGGGCATGAGAGGTAAGACCTGCCCCAAGGGAGTCCTCTAAGGAGCCATACTCAGGAGACTGTGGGGGCTTGAGGGCTTGGCAGGCAGCGCTGGTGGCCCCTGCCTCTCCAGGTGCCGCCTCACTGGGAGCCACCCACCACACCCTCCACCTCACAGTCCTCAGGGTGCCCACCTGCAGGCTTTGTGGAGCCACAGGGAAGGAG